TGCTGAACCTGCTGACTTGACTAAGAACAAAGTTGAATTCTTGCTGCGAAGGTGAACTGATGCAAACATCAATCCAGCCACAGAGTATCCAGTTAAAAAGCAAATGCCTTATGTTAAGTGCATCCACAGTGCTTAATGTATTCACAGAACTAAACATATTGACACAATTGTGCTGGCAAGTGTGTATCACTTGTTACCATCAACATACTTTAGCTTTATGTGATTTGAAAACTAGCAAGTTCAGACCATCAAATCAGGCATATCTAACAGTGCAGATTTTTCATTAGTGATCATTTGGCAGTGTAGAAAGCTGGGGTGTAACTCCATTGCACACATCCCTTCTTGCACACCATATTGAAAGGAAATAAAAACCATGAAAGGCCAAAAGAAACTGCTCATACAAAACCAAGCATAGATTGTTTGTTGCTAATGGGTTGTGAACAGTGCTGTCCTCACCTTTCTCTTTTGTGAACAATGGCAGAAACAGTGAACTGGGTTCAGTTATGCCTCCCTTCGAAGTGCAGAAAAATGGTGTCCCTTTATGAAGGCATAGCCAGGAAAGGGTTCTCCATGAAGGTCAGCATGACAGAAGTAAATGTAATACATGGACAGACAAGTCAGAGCATATAGTCTGCAAGAAGCCCATGAGGTCAACCCTCCAGGCTCTTCAGTACCAGCAGAGCCCTAGGGGGATACTGGTCTAGTTGTGAGTACCAGACATCAAAGTGGGCTAACAGGGGTGAGTACCACAGACAGATTCTCTCAAGACATTGTACACTGTCCTGGAAGAGAAGAGGCAAAGGCTGATACAGAACAAGATTCAGCCTAGCTTTCTGCAAGAGAGTAAGCATAAACTTGCAGGACAGTGTTTAGCTTTCCTGAAAGCAAGTGGCAGAATGGCTCAAGTAAGGACTTTAGCATCTGCCCACAGTTTGCAATCTTCCCTAAATAAATATTGATAAACAAGGGCTACTAATTTAATTTACAAAACCAGTCTGCGGTCAATACAATGCTGAAGGTTGAGCACAGCAAATGGTCATATCACAACCAACGCAGTGCCCAGTCTAAGGAGGGCACTGCAGAGTTCCCAATGTTCTTCAGCACTCCAAATGTGTAGCTAATGACTGACAGCATAAACAACTTACTCATGCATGATTTGTGCTCATTCTAGCCTTGAAATCAATACTCTCTCTCAAGTAAGCTGAGCAGAACTGTAATGTCCTTCCTGAAATGTCGACTCACTGGGGATGTGGAGCTAGTGATAAACATTGCAGATTTTCTTCAAACAGAACTTCTCTGTCTTTATTGCTTCATTTAATTGAATACTTTTTTTTCTCTCTCTTTTCTCAAATACAGCTCTTGAAACAGTTCAGTCTCAGGTACCCCATGTTCCTTTGTTCAAATTCATTGGCACAGCACAAAGGTAATAGAGAGCAGAACCTATTCCAATTTAAGTAGTAGTTTACTGTATAGTCTATATTGCTTGTTACTCACTTTCCTGTTTATTATCAGGTTGCTCGATGGCAGGTGGTTTAGAGAAAAAAAAAAAACACAACAGAGAAAGTTACATAAAACATCTGGGCCAGATCCTCAAAGGATATTAATTGTCTTTGTACCATTTGCAGGCTCTGGAGGACAGGCTTTACCAAATCAAAGTGCTCTTTGTTTTCTAATATGATCTTGCTGCACAAAGAGACTAGAAAAGATAGGTATTTCTTCTGCAGCACTGTGCCCTTGATTAACCTAGTTTGTGGTACTTATTTCAAAGAAGGAGCTAACAACAACACTGACTTCAAAGCGTTGCTAAGCGCCATACCTGTCTGCTCATGTATCATTTGTTTCTCTCAAGCTATTTTCTGTCAGCAGAGAGGGAAGCAAGATGTATGCTCTGGGTGAAACCCACATGATCATTAGCAGGAAATTACACCAAACTACTGTAAAGTAATTATGCAGCTAAAAGGTGAGCTGGGAGGAAGTCAGTGATTAAATACTTACCACTGGAGTCTGTCTACGTCACATAATGTTTGCTCAGAGGCTTTCAGTATATTTTCAAAGCACTGGCCAGTGCCATGGGCTGAACTGAACCTTCACTCAGGCCTTGAGAAGTATGCTCAGGTACCCTCGGCCCTTTTTCATAGCAAGTGAATTTTATTTCAGTATCATACATTACAATACAGGATAACAGTAATTCTTAATTGGTAGCTCAAGGTTGCCCTTGCACTGTCAAGTTATTGTCACCGAAATCTTTCATGGGTTCTTGCTGGGGTGCTGCAGTTACAGCAACCCACTGTGGTCATGCAGCTATTTGTCATACAAAGAATGTGAAAAGTGTGAAGGTTCAGAAACTATGGGGTCTGAATTACAGCAATAAAACTCTGCTTGAGTGAAAAACCTTTGAGCAATGACTGAGGAAGAAGTAATAACACTGTGCTCTGTATCTTCTCTCCAAATGATTTTAAATACCGGTAAGATTAATCTTTGACATTCCAGTGACGTATCTCTATGTTGTGGATGGTAATTTTTAAGCACTGAGATATTATCCCCAATAACTGACTTTATTAATCTTTTTTTTTTTTTCTTCCAGAATGGAGCAGCACACTGTCTGGGACACAGAGAAGACACAGTCCTTGTCCAGAGGGACCCGCTAGCAAGACATCAGAGATGACCATGACAGATGAGAACACATGAGACAGATAATCAATGTGTTACACAGTTTTATTTTTCATTTAGCCCTCCTCTTCCTGCCTCCCCTAGCCTCAAGCTTCCCCCACTCAGCTTCCTCCCTTTGCTCCACTGCTTTCTATCTCCTCACCATTCCTCCTCTTCTGCTCACCCTTTTCCCAAGAACCAGTGCTGAGTCAAATGAAAAGCCAAATGTGCTCAATACAGAAAAAACACTGAAGGATTTGTATCCTGGGAGACAATAAACCTTTGTGCCCTTCAGGACACTGGATGTTCCTTTACAAGCAGCTTTTACCTTAGTTTACCCTATTCCTGTTGGTGCAGAGTCTGATGGAATAACACTAATAAATAAATGAGCTTTCTAATATTGCCTCCAAACATGAGACTGGAAACAGGATGACTAATGGTCAAATCCTGCCTTCAGTGACACAGGTAGCTGTTTGGTGACTGCAGACATCGTATTTTGCTTCAACACACTTCCATTCTCTGTGTACAATTACCCACACACATAACTCCCCTTTCTGAAATCAGTCTGAGTTTGAGCACTGATTTAAATGCGAACAGGATCAGAGCACAAACAGCACAGTCTGTACATCCAGCTGACTTCCAAGTAATCCAACACCGAAATTTAAGGTCTGGCACCGTTTGATGCTCATGTCCCAGCCATACAAGGAGGAAACATGTCTGAATGGTCTCTGGTGACTTACCACCACCTACACGTTCTCATCCAGGTTGGGTGCACAAAACCCAGCAGCTGGTGTGTCGAGTACTCAGTCTTTTCAAAAGCTATCCAGCTGTCACATGAAGATTCATCTGATCCCAGGTTGGATACATTTTGGAAATCTACTCTAATTCTATTATTTTAAAATATAAGGAAGATTTTTTCAAAGAGCTGTGAAGTGCCCTCATGGATTTAATGAGAGCTGGGCCACTAAACACAGACCGTACCTTTGGAAAATCTCTCCTTTGTTGCAACTTTTAATTTCAACAGCTTTCCAACTTTTGCAGCTTTTAATTTCCAGGTCATCTAATCTGTGACTTTGGCTGTTAAGTGAAAAACACTTAGTACCAGATCTTTGCTAGCCCTAAAGCCATAGATGACCCAGCTGTGCTTTTTAACCTTCTCTTGCAGAGGCTGTGAAAGCTTGCTTTTTCTTTCCTCAGTAAATGAAAATTTTCATGCACTGATCACTATTCTATCCAAAGGCATCCTGCAGATAAGCAAACAGAAGTAATTTTACACAAAACTTTCGTATATGGCTTGAAAGAAGCCCAACTAGGATTGAGAATGATAGATGATCTTCCCAGAGACGTTCAGGAATAATGCAGTTTCACATTTACAACTGGAAAAAACATGCAATGCACATATTTAAATAATTATTAAAAATTAAATGTCTAACACAAGGCAGGTTTTAACTCCATTTTGCTGCATATCTTCCGGAAATCTTTAATGGGTATCATTTGAGGTCTTCTCATTCGCTTTCCTCAGGAACAAAGGCTTTGTAATGGAGGTTTAAGTGTGCTATCAGCAAAAGGTTCTCTTGAGGGAAATTAAGTGAAAGGACATTCTTCTTGTCTTCATGTTTGACATTCAGGAGTAGTGGCAAGATAAGGTAGGCACAGGAGTTTTTTAAAAAAAACTGCCGGATAGTAATGGCAGCATTTCATAAGGATGTGAACCGTTCATCATCTGCTGCAAAGACTCCATTAATGTGGCCTGCTTTTAAATCCAGCACTTCACAAGGAATCCCATTTTCTGCTGTTACTGTCACTTCGTCTTTCTCTTCTAAACTTTCTCTCTCTGTTGACTCTTTGCTCTTTCTGAAAACAAGAAAGATAAAATCATCCTGTTCTGTTGACCTGGGAACTCCAGCCCAATTCCACAAATAGAAAACTGCACATTTAGTCAGAAGTGTATTGTACGTTACATTCTGAAAGGCGTAATCTTCCAACCCACAGATTGGAAGCCCTGGTTTAGTGGTTTGAGGTCAGGATTGGGAATCAGAAAACCTAGAGCAAACAATTTGCAAGTATGTTATAAATTTTACTTCACTTCCTTATTCTGTAGAATGACCAAAGAGGGCAGAAGGAAAAGTGGGTGTGAAACAAAAATGGAACAAATCTCTAAATCTGGTTTTGCTCTGCATGAGGAAGGCCTGCACTAAACATCCAGTCTGACCCTGTTATGTATGTCATGGATCCATGATGTGGACAAATTAAAATGCACTTTTTAGACTACAGCCCTCAAATGTGGAGACTGGAGGGCCCTCACACTCCTTGATGATCTTTTCCAGAAGTTAGATACTCTTAGTTCTGCAAATCTGCATTTTTAGTTCAAACTTTATTAACAGTCACCTTCCTACCCAGTATTTTATACTTTTGTTCTACACATCAAACTATTGCACTACTTCCACTTTTCCAGACTCCAGTTCTCACCAAAATCATATTCAAATTGTTGCTGAATAAAATTATCTAAAAATACAACCACAGGAAGATGAATACAGAAATATCAATCAACATGTCATTATGCTCCTTTAATTTCAGATTTATTCTGACCTTGAGAACTACAAGTTCATAGTTGACAAACCTGCTGTACTTTACAGCCTGCAGCATCAGCGGTTTCAGAGGATAAGAAACTCAAAGGTCAGCTCCACTGCTTCTTCCTATCCCACAACATGTACTGTAGCAATCTGACCCAGGACAATCATAACAACCTGACTCAGTGTAACTGCTAATAACAGCAACATTAACAATAATAAAATTTTATTTGCCTTTGGGAGATACTTGGCATTAGGGACTTGGTAAAGGGGAGGTAGTAGTGGAAACCTCTGATCTCTGGCTGGTGTATCTGCTCTCACAGTGATAGAATGAATGTTATTTAATACAAAATCTGTGGGGGCAGAACATAAAATAAGACACTAAGAAGCAGGTTCAAAAGAAATGAAAGAAGTAGCAGATGTGTGGAACTCATTGCCATAGGAATTCAGAGATGCTAATAATTTCTATGAGTCCAAGGGAAGATAAAAAAGTCAAGGGAAGAGAAAACATTGCGAGCTACCCAACACAGGAAGACCAAATGCATCTCAGGAAGGCCCCCAGCTATAAATTACATCATGGAAGAGTAATAGAGGGAAACAGTGTGTGTGCTGGCTGTGTTTTCACTCTTCCCAAGGCAAATGTTTATGGCCTCTGCTGCAGATGGGATTTTGGGGGGTAGACTTCAGTATAGTTCAGCACAGCCAGCAGAGGATGGTCCTGCCCCAGGTGTGTGCCGAATCTATTATCAGAGAGGGAGGTGTCCTATTGCTGCAATGACAGGAGAATAAACACAAGGCTGGGAGACAGTGTGTCTGATCCAGCTCACTGTAGAGCCAAGGGCTACAATCATATGGAGCTCTTCAAGTGGCTTGTAACTTTACATGTTGGCAGGGATGCACAGTGAAGATCTAATTAAGAAAACCTTTCTGTTAAAGAAATGATGTATGAGTCTAACTCATTACTGAAACTCCACTATAGGCCAACCATGTGGTTCCCTGCCACCCTGAGCACAAATGGCCTGAAGCATGTGCTTCTGGGCTTATCTGAACTGAGATATTTAAGTGGTACTTTAAAGGCCTATAAAAACAAAATGCCAGATTTATGAGAAGCCAATACCATCCTTGAAGCCAGATTTCCAATACAACTTCCTAGGCAACAGAGCTACCATTATGTCAGCTCTGGACATGTTTCCAAGAAAACTCATTACTGGACATGCTGAAGTCTTTGATAATCAGATCATATACTTTGGTGCCTGAAGAAGAGATAAGCACTTTTTAAATTCTCTTCTGATGTCTGGCTCTTCTTTCGAGAAGACAAATAGCCCAGACCAACCCTTTTACCTCTAGAGTCTTTGCAAGAGTAGATGAAATACACACTTGGTTTACTCTCTCTTTTTTTCTCTCTCTCTCCCCCATCCCTGTTGTGGATGTGAAAGGAGGGTTAGAGTTCAATCATGGATGAATCTGCTCTGAGGAAAGGTTATATGTAAAGGCAGAGGAGGGAAACAGAGGGAGAAGCGAAAAGTTGCATAACAACTAAAAAGACAACAAGAGCATGAGATACAGAAGATGGCAAGTGACTGTAGGCAGGCAGCAACACAACATATTGCTGGCAGCATGATGATATGAGCATGCAGTTTACACCATATTGAGGGGAACTGCTCAAGCTCAGCTATTTTGAAAACAGAGGGAGGGAAAGGCTATCTTTCAGCCTGATATGGAGAACAAATTATTAACATAGGTAGAAAAATCAAAGCTATTTAGCATAATTTATTTATATTACACCTATCTGAAATGTGCCAAGACAGTCACTGCCAGTCTTCTCCCTCTTGGTAGCTATTTGGGTAGTCTCTGAGAGGAGGCTCACATGTGGCACACTAAACTTTGAGAAGAATGACAACAAATGTCTTTGTAAAGCTATTGTCTCTAGTAAGGAGGCTTCTTATACTCCTTATTTCCTCATAACACCCCAGCATTACTAAGGTGTCTATACTTCACAGTTAAAAATTTTAACCCCTTTCCTCAGAAAAGGAAGCATGGGTTATCCATGGTTACTATGGAGGGAGTGAGGGCACAACTCTCATTTCTTTGAGGCTGACTGGAAAAGCAAAACCAGGCCAGATGACTTCAGTTGCCAGTATTCAGTTAAAACAGAAGAACAGCTAAGCCGCTTACTTCTTGTGTTGCCGAATCCCTCCAACAATGAGCAAAACAATTCCAGCCACAATGAGACAAAGAACAACACCAAATACGATAAGCCAGACAGGTGTGGAGGGTTCAACAGGAGGTGATAAGGTTGAGGTTATTTTCAGGAACTGCAGTGTTTTGTCACTCAGTAGGAAGGCACTGTTGATTCTGTTCCTGTTCATCCTTTATAAAAACACAAAGAACATCACAATTCTTTATAGAGTTATTCTAGAAGTTGAAAAGATAGAAGAATAATTTTTAAAAGGATTTTTCATGTATGTGCTGCAAGTCTTGCAGGGCTGAATTTGATCCAGCATAATGTTGGCAAGATTGCACAGATATTCACATTAACATAGAACTTGTCAATAATCCGTAGACACCCACACACTTACGGGGTTTTGAACACCAGATGTACTTATCTGAAAAAAAATGGGAAATACAGATGAGACCTGAAGTACACTATTATTATTTATTTCTATTTTGGACCATTTGCTGAAGACACAGCAGGTTGTAATCTGTAAGGATGGGTCTGTTGCCTTGCTCACGCAGCATTCAAGATCAGCATGGGAGTGGCAGACCTACCATGCCATGCTCAAAGGGTTTACTTATCAGCGCTCCTTGGCTCTTCAAACTGAACCACGCTGCACAGTTTGGGCCACACATCTGCTCTTGCTGCTGTAGATTTTCTTAGGTCCATGAGGCAGAGGATAAAATTTGGTCCAGAAGAATCCAACCCTATTGCCAACACGACCTTCTCCCTTGCAGAATGCAGCTTCTGGGATTTGTACTTTGCACTGTTTTTTTTCCATTAAGAGAAATCGTAAGTCTAAAAAATATGCTTTTTCACATGAGTAGTATAACTGCTACCCTTTAATGGGTATCTTCACCCACACTCACTGCTTCTAAGCATTTCCAGGTATTTCTGGATCTAAATCCAAGCAGCCTTAAGAGGCTTTAGCAGTATCTTTCATTATCTTTTTGAAAATGTTAACACTTTTCGAGAAAATGTATTACATATATTGGTCTTGAGAGATTCTTTTTGATTGCAGTTGTATTATCTACATCAGGTCGTTCTTGTATACAATTCAATTCATTCACCATACAGCAAGTATTTCCTAACAACAGATATATGGAAAATACAGGCAAGATTTTTCCAATTTTTTCTCTTGAAAACCATAATGTTTGACTGTGCCTTAAATGCAAAGTTTTTACCCTTAATGAAAAACTAGCATTCCTGGAGAGGACTGAGAGCCATGGCTAGAAGACCCGTTATACAGTAAATTGTCTTTGATTTAGAAATATTTTTTATCCTTATTGATATGAAAGGATCATTGTGAAGAGCTGAAATAAGCATTGTTCACTCTCATCTAATGACTGGACTTACAGAACTATGATCTGAAACACATGCAGACAACTACAGATGCATTTTGTGTTTGTAGATGCATAAATAGATCTTATGTATAATTTATCAAGATCTTGGGTCTTATATAGAGCACTGACATGACCTATTTTCCTCTTTATTCTTACTTTGTAGAGAGTCTCATTTAAAAATTCTGGTCTATGGGTAGTGTTTTTGTGTGCTCATGTAGTATGAAGAATTAGAAAAATGGTTTAATAAGGAAGTCTGCAATCAGAAGCAACTGAATAAAAACTATTGTAGTTTTAGAGACAATTTTATTTTTTGTTTCCAAGTTAGGTAGGAATTAAAACTTTTAATAAATAGCATGTTCTGTACCAAGTGACAGACAGCAGTTAAAAAAACAAACATACTATAATAGCATCCAATTTCTGTGGCAAACAGGGCACATAAAAGACTTAAATAAATCAGCTTATGCTACTGAACGTATCAAAGAATAACAGAAATGCAAAAACCTTGCATTCCAGCACTCTTACAGAGACCTTCAGTGAATAAATAATCTGCTTCTCTCACTAATGCTATGAAGGTATTGTTTGGTGTCTCTGTAGGAAATAGTTTAATCTGCTCATAAGCTTAAAAGTTAATCTTTTCAAAAGAACGCACACTCATTCATCAGGAATTAGGCATTACACCTCCACAGAGATAACATGAATTTTCAAGACAAAGCACAGAATCCCTACAAACAAAGAGGCCTGTTTTCCACTCTGTGCTTGAGAAATGTACATGAATTATGCTGCTTGTGGGATTCATCCCTATAAACCCCTTAATGTAGGGTTGGTAGACCACTGAAGTCAGCTTACTTGTTTTTTCTTCTGTCCTCTTCAGCTCCACACTCTTGCCTTTAACGGCTAGAGAATGTGATATTTAGTAGAAAGCAAACTGATTTGTACCCCGTGGTACTTTGTACAAGGAATGCTCAGCTATGATACTGACTGGCATTCCATAAAGAGCTGGTATGAAAAGAATGTGAGTATAAGATTGTTTAAGCCAAGATGGGACACAGCCAGCTCTGCTCATGAAGAGCTCACATGAGCCCTTTTCATGTCAAAGCTGACTTCTAAATTAAGTCAGATGAACTGTACTTGAGAAGCACTGAAAGGGAGCCTACAGTCATTAGTCCAGGTGCAGATGTAGAGATGGCTGGCAATGAAAGTTAAATTATATAAATCCCAACCAAAAGTTGTACAATTCTGTCATTTGAGAGAGAAGGCTCTCTCACTGGGAAATGTAGCAGCTGAATGAGACCAGTCTGTGTGCATGCACTGGACAGCAAATTACAGGTGGTACTCTGGGAAGAGATGAGATTCCTTCTGAGGCTCCAGTACCATGAGAGACTCCTTCCAAAGTTAGAATCCCAAGGCTCACATGCTTTGCATTCTGTGGGAGTGTTAAAAATCCTTCTGATCTGAAACGCATGGAAGAGTACTGGTGTTCTAAGCACTTGGATTTGTTCATCCTTAAAGAGGCAGAGGGCTCAGTCACACAAGGCCCAGAGAGAGAAAGCATTCTCAGTCAGCAAGGAAGAAAAGGTTGCAGAAGCAGTGACTGTACCTGATGGCTGCCTCTACCTCACTTCCAGGGACAGTAGTCACATTTTTGGAAGAATCTGTGACCACAAACCAAAATGACACTCGATCCGTCACATTGCAGAGCAGCACATTGGAAATTCTGCACAGTTAAAACAAAAATAATCAGTAAAGACATTGGGAAGGAATTATTGAAATATTTTAGATTTTCTTAAAGTATTTATTTCATCTAAAGAGGGAACCATTATTTTTTTAAAAGTTAACAGTTAATGCTCAAGGTAGAAATATCACTCACAGCAATTCCCATTCCTCAATATGATTTAAAAAAAAAAATATGCTATTGAGACCAAACTTGAATCTTCAAACATATTTCTGAAGTTATTACAAACTTGAATAATCTTGTACATAAATTTAGCACAGTTAAGTGGGAAAAACCATATTTGCATCTTAATCATCAAAGCTGTGACAAAGGTCATAAAATGGTGCAAAAGCATTGATAAATAAGAATTTTGGTTTTGACAGCTAATACTGCAGGAACTAGGTGTGGGAGAATCCACATATGATTTTCAAGTAAGTGTTGTCCTTCTACAGGATAAATCTGTTGGAAGAAAAAGCAATTAATTTATGTTATTCTTTTTTACATCTTTGTTCACAGTGTCAGGCGTAGAGTGGAGGCAACAGGCTAAATTTAGACATTCTACTGGCACTGGCCTATGCCTTATTGCTTATGCTATGACAAACAGGTATCTTAGCTGTTTTAGAAGAAGATCACTCAGCTTCATGTGAAGTTAACAGTGGAAAGGCACAGGTCCCCAGCTTCTCATGGCACACTGTGTAAGAAGTGTGCAGAGGGTCTTTTAAATGCCTTTTTTAGACTCTTACAATTTTTTTCTCTACCATTAAAACTAGTAAATGGTGGAACCATCGCTAGAAAAACCTAATGGAATGACATCATCATGAGTGTTTAAACTAAAGAAGTGAGAGCTAATACATGAGTATCAAACAGTGACTGAGGCAGACAGTGCCCTCTTGTTCTTCTGTCCCTTGTTTATCCACACAACTAAGAAACTAAACTTGTGTAATACACAGGAATTGTATAAGGTGGCATTTACCACAGCATGGCTAGGAATACAGTATGTATCATAAAAGGATAGCCAAAGCCTTTATTAATTCAATGACAGAGACCCAGAGAGATAAAAATGGGGAAAAAAAAAAATAGCTCTATATCATTAATGAACAAGAGGGTAGATTTAGACTAAACACAAGGAAGAAAATTTTTGCAATGAGGGTGGTAAAACACTGGCACAGGTTGCCAAGAGAGGTGGTAGATGCCTCAATTCCTGGAAACATTCAAGGTCAGGCTGGATAGGGCTCTGAGCAACCTGATCTAGTTAAAAATGTCCCTGCTCACTGCAGGGGGCTCAGACTAGATGACTTTTAAACCTCCCTTTCTACCTAAACTGTTCTGTAATTCTAATGCAAAGAATGTGGCTGAGGAATCAGATTTACTGCCCATGTCCAAGCAGCAAGCAGATATTCTGAAAGCCCAGGAGCAAGAATTAGAGTAATTTTTATTTCCAGAGAGTAGCCTGGACTTGGTTCATCTTTGTATGGAAGAAGATCACTCAGCTTCATGTGAAGTTAACAGTGGAAAGGCACAGGTCCCCAGCTTCTCATGGCACACTGTGTAAGAAGTGTGCAGAGGGTCTTTTAAATGCCTTTTTTAGACTCTTACAATTTTTTTCTCTACCATTAAAACTAGTAAATGGTGGAACCATCGCTAGAAAAACCTAATGGAATGACATCATCATGAGTGTTTAAACTAAAGAAGTGAGAGCTAATACATGAGTATCAAACAGTGACTGAGGCAGACAGTGCCCTCTTGTTCTTCTGTCCCTTGTTTATCCACACAACTAAGAAACTAAACTTGTGTAATACACAGGAATTGTATAAGGTGGCATTTACCACAGCATGGCTAGGAATACAGTATGTATCATAAAAGGATAGCCAAAGCCTTTATTAATTCAATGACAGAGACCCAGAGAGATAAAAATGGGGAAAAAAAAAAATAGCTCTATATCATTAATGAACAAGAGGGTAGATTTAGACTAAACACAAGGAAGAAAATTTTTGCAATGAGGGTGGTAAAACACTGGCACAGGTTGCCAAGAGAGGTGGTAGATGCCTCAATTCCTGGAAACATTCAAGGTCAGGCTGGATAGGGCTCTGAGCAACCTGATCTAGTTAAAAATGTCCCTGCTCACTGCAGGGGGCTCAGACTAGATGACTTTTAAACCTCCCTTTCTACCTAAACTGTTCTGTAATTCTAATGCAAAGAATGTGGCTGAGGAATCAGATTTACTGCCCATGTCCAAGCAGCAAGCAGATATTCTGAAAGCCCAGGAGCAAGAATTAGAGTAATTTTTATTTCCAGAGAGTAGCCTGGACTTGGTTCATCTTTGTATGTGACCTGCCTGGTCACAAGCACAACACAGCCACCATGTCTTGACAGTCTCTGGGATGATCAGTCTTCAGACACTACCTGCTGTTCTGCACAAGGAAACCCTGTAGTGAGCCAGTGAAGAAAAATGCAGCTTCTCTTTTAATTGACTAAAGTGATGTTTGTCTTTCTCATTACTAACCAGTATAATTGGTTTTAAAGTTTGACCGGCCCATCATCAAAATGCGAGTTTAAACATTTCCTTTCCAGCCTGCTGGAAAGGAAATTTGTCACCTCATGGCGACAAATCCTCGGCTGCCAGCAATCGCCCCTGCCCAGAGCTCTGCTGTGTGGTGCCATCTGCTGGCTAATTACGCTAATTAATGAAATGACCTCGGTGAGTGGCCTGAGGAGCAGGAAGCATGAGATTTAACGTCAGGCAGCCAAAATTGCTATGAATGTGTAGTGTCCATCCAGAAAAGGAGGAGTTTGCTTTAAGGGCAGGACAGGCATTGGCTTGATCACAGTAGTTCATTCATGGACATTTTGCTGAAATATTTTACTTACTGCTGAAAGCGCTTTCAGGTGCTGTCTTGGGTGCCCTGGATAGTGCAACTTTACGTTTTACAAACAAGGTATATACTCCATAAAGATACACAATAAAATGGAAAACAATGATTTTCCAGAGCTGAAATACCCACTTTTACCTTGATGGATAAATGTCAATTTTGTAAATACAGAGAATTTTTATGGATAAAAGAGGAAAGCCGTCCTCTGGAATTTGATAAGGTGTTCACATCAGTTTTCAGACAACAGTCAGAAGACAAAAGCATATTTATTCTTCCTAAAACAAAAGCAAAGCACAATATGCATGGGGGAGAGGGGGGGAGAGTCTACTTTTGGCTGGTGGCTGACAAACTCTTTCTGACTTTACAGAATAGCTAAAATTGTATCTGCAGAGGCAGTTTTCCATTAGGAGAATATTAACAGTTGGACCTAAAACTTCATGCTACTGCAGTTCTTAAAGCTGGAATTCCTGTGGCAGAATCAAAAACTGGTCCAGGTAGAAAATTTGGGTTTGTGTTGCCCTACAGATGTTCTCGAAGTGGGTTGAGTGACAAATGTTCAAAGTGAAAGATAAATTTGGTAGACAGATTGCCAGAACACCATGACCTTCTCAGTCCTCCTTAGAGACTGGGAGAGACTCTGTAACCTGGAGTCTTTTCTGTGGTGTCAAGGGCTTCCAGCTTAAAATACGGCAGTCAGTCATAATTTTGGGTAGCATTTCTCTTGCACTAGAACAAACCAAACAGTACTGAGTCAGCTGGGCTACAAGGCTCACACTAGGATATGTAAATTCTGCCTTCTTTCTGCTCCCTCTTGTGTCTAAAATCCTTGCTTGATTATAAGAATCCAAAACCTGGCTTCACTGCCACTTTTTCATTAGTCCAATCTGAATGCCGTAAATCCTTCCAGGCTCCAAAGAGAAGTCCAAAGGGGATTTAGCAAACACCAAACCAAGCTGGTTCAACAAGCACCAACAAACTTTATTTGCAGCAGGTATGGTTTTTTTTCCTGTGCTATTTGTACATAGGTTTGATTCACAGCATGCAGAAGCATTAAAAAATGACACCTTTACACTTTAGATTTCAGAAACCTGACTTCTTCATGCTAATTAGGTGTATTTATAATAAAATATGTGGATATCATTTTTATTTCTTTAGAAAGTGACAGACTTGTGCCATGAGGATTCAAAGGCTGCTATTGTCAGAATGACAAGATCTTGGAACCATGGCAAAACTCCAAAATTACATTTCTTTTAATAAAAGCAAATGAATATCAGTGAGTGGAGGGTAGGAAACCCTTTTGGTTCCTTGGCCTGAAACACCATCACTGTTACTTATGGAGATTTAAAGGATTAGTTAAGGGAAAGAAATAGCTGCCAGAAACTCAGAGGGAGCTGGGTGCCATCAGCTTGTGGGAGAAGCACAGCCCCAGGTCCTAAATGTCTATCTTCAGCTCTCCTGAAAGCATCAGGCCTCTTCCAACCCAGCACTACTTACCTGCTCCTGCAAAGGAATGCTGTCTCCTTCCTTTCTGTGAACAGCAGCCATAGGATCACATTGATGTAACAGCTTTAACTCTAGAAGCTTATTTCATTGTTCTGAATGGTCACAGTATTTTTAGTATCAAAGAAGCCTGTCTTATGCAGATGGATAACATTGATGATTTTTTCCTGTTCATTTCATGAGGAAAGCTGCAGCTTTTTTAATGGGGGGAAGATGTACCAAAGGTAGATGGTGGTACTTGAATGAAAATAAATGTGATTACATTCTTTCTGTTTTAAAGATTAACTAGTCTTAGCCCCAAAAGAGATGCATATTATTTAAAATGAGTCACAGATTAGCAAAACCAGAGTTACTAGCACAGACTACAGATAATAATTTTTTAACACTGAGAGATCAAAGGTTGGTTCATTAATGTATGTATTGAGAACGAATTGAAAGGCCATATATAGAGCAGGGAATAAAGGGGATTTATTTCTCCACTGAAAAATAAGTATTTATTTTACCTGTATTAATAATTACTGAGTAAATTCAATGGATTGTGTCTTCTGTTTCACACAAACTGGAAAAATTGACAAGCCTTTCAAACATTAAACACAGCTCCATGATTTATTTAATTTTAGTTTAGAAATTAACTTGAGGGAACCTGAGATGTAATGTGCAATCCTGCCCATTCTGCATTGGATCACTCAGTAGTTACAGAAGGGCAAAACCAGCATCAACTGCTGTTTCCAGCAGCACATTCAAATGCTTGTCATTACAGGCTGGCTTTTATCCAGCTTCAGAAGCCTAACAAAAGGTGACATTGAATCTCAAAAATGATGGGACATGCTGCAACAATGGTTATGCTGATCAACCAGACAAATTATGTGAGGCCTTATCCAGCTTGCTGAATTTAACAGCATTTGGTCTCATGCGAGAGTTAGTTGTGGCTGTGAGTTACTGCAGGGCTGTGGGTGTGTTAGAAATTAAAGGGATGTTAAAGGGAAGGTTTGTGACATCCTGGTTATGGTCCTATGCAGAATTTATACCTTGGCAGAACCAGTGTTTGCTCCATCTCTGGTGTGGATGCTCCATCCCTGGAAGTGTTCAAAGCCAGGTTGGCTGGGGCTTTGAGCAACCTGATCTACTGGGAGGTGGCCCTGTCCATGCAGGGGGGTTGGAACTAGATGATTCTTAAGGTCCTTTCCAACCCAAACCATTCTGTGATTCTATGATATGCTATGTAAAGTACTCATGAATTTTTCATAAATCTACTTTGACAAAAATCTTTAATTAACCAGATGCATTATTTCCAGGACTTCTAACAGAATGCAGGCTTTCATAGTAATACTGCTCTCATGTAACAGGCAGGTTATTTGGGGTGTATTGAGAGGTTCACCTAGCTTTCCATCTCTGAACAAGGACTCTGAGGTCCCATGGGATTTAGGAGAGATCTACAGATAGGAAACTCCTTAGCCTGTTGCTTAGTAGGTCATACCACACCTCAGAGCTGCAGAGCTGTGCTTCAGCTGGCATGCTACCTACACATGACCCCAAAAGTACATAGAATTCCTAGAAAAGTTAGCAGTTATACCTATAAGGTACATCTCAACAAGTTATACCTCATGAAGAAGTCCTAAACCATCTTAAAAAGTGGTAAAGAGTCTGCACTTAACTGTTCCCAAATATTATACTGACTTCTCAGAAAAACAAACTCGCAGGAAATTACCAGTGTGTGCAACCCCACCTTCAAACTGGAGTAACAATGACCCTACCATATTTGTCCATAGGAAAAATTATCTTGGTAGGAGACTGAACTAAGTGAGCAAAAATTCTATGATTTCCCAGAGAGGATAAATTCCATTTCAACTCCTTTCATACTGCTAGATTTTTTTTCCATTCTTGCATCAAGATTTCTAATATTAGTTGAATCTGCAGGGAACCACAGTGATTGAAGAGGAAAATGATCACTGACTTCTGACACAGGTTTTTAAAGACTGAGACTAAAACAGGTATTCAAAAGTGAATCTTTATGCATCAGACACTGGATGAAAACCCTGCTAATTTGAAAATCTGAGGAAAAGCCCTGCATAATCACCTTTAATTATCTTATATCTTGAACTTATTTTTAAGTGTCATTTTAACAGGGTGCAGTAGAATACCTGGCTGCTTTTGTTAAGCTTAGTGTAATAGCTCTCTTGCTCAAAGGAGACAACTTCCAAGGAATAAAAAAGAAACAGCCAGGAACCCATGGTGGGGGTGGGAGAATCACCTATTCAAGAGAAAGTGTGGCAGCCACAATAACCATCAGGTGACTAGCTAGCTAGTATCATTGCAAATGTGGACTATGCTTCACTTGATGCAATGAAGCCCAAAACAGCTTTTCTTTTAAGTAAATTGAGAACCATCTCCTCATTAGCCTACCAGAAACATAAATCTTTCCTTTAAAATTGAAAAACAATGAAAAAAAACACTTACAAAGCTTTTAATTTAAGAAAGATAAAAACACACTGAAAATTCAGCTTGCTAAATGGTTTGTCTAATCCAGTATCTAATTTCATAAATAGCAAGGATCAGAAGCCTGAGAAGAATATTTGGTACCTCTGGGTAGATTTAATCCCAAAACCAATAAAAGTCTGATTTCTGTCTGAACTGCACCATCCAAAACTTCTTAATCTTGGGTAACTCAACTTCTGCAATATTAGGGATAAATATCAGCCCAGCAGAACACAGCTCTAGCACAACTGTCCACCTTCCAGTTCTCTGAGTCGGCTCATCTTCAGCATACTGCTGAAGCTGTGCTCTAAGAGAATGCACCAAAGCTGCTTATTCAAGGACCTTTACTGCATTTCTTAACTGTGCCAATGTGTCCCTTCACCTCCTCACAATATGGTTTCCAGAAAGTATCATGTCTTAACTGCCAGGTTCTCCTAGAGTGAACTGGCACAATCCCATTGAGGTCCACAGCTGTGCCACTTCACAGTCTTGGACACTAGTCCAAAGACTGAACATTGCTTAAGACAGAGAGAGTGTGATGTTTAACATGTATCTGGGTGTCAAATATACTGGAACAGTCTGTTTTTAGAAGCTGTTTATAATGATTTCTACAGTTCAGCACAGTAGAGAATTGGCCACTACAGAGAGCATTGCTAATGTGTATAAGGCATATCTGAGTAGATGCTTACTGAGTTGTTCTCTTGCTGGAATATCTTCTCATTGCAAAAGCCACCATTGCTTTGAAGAGGTACTCTTCATTAGCATCCCAAGCATACTGTAAAGGAAGATGGAAAATAGTCGGTTTCAGCACCAGTGCTGGCAGTAGAAAGAGGGAAAAGAGTCACCAAACTGAAGATGTATTAATCAAGAAAATTAATAAATTCTCTGATTCTGCTACAAAAATAAATTCATGTCCATTATTTAGTGTGCACTTTTATTTTGTGATTTTTTTCTAATGGATGGTATGAAGTGCAATATAGAGTGCAAAGTATGTTTCCAAAAACTGAATTAATTGAATGTTTCTGAAAGCTGACCAAACTGAAGATGTAAAGTTTCTTGTACCAAAGACTAGGCATATTACTAGAATTCTCCCCATTCAGCTGTACCCATGGCCTTGCCTCATTTTCTGGATAAATCTTGTTAAAGGAGAAGGCTTAAATCCACTCACAGAGACCATTTTGCTCTGCCCAAAAATTAAAAAAAGCTAGTGTTGAAGGTAGATTCTGGGATTTTTATGTCAAGACACCAGGAAATAAAATGAGATCATGGCCTTACTGCTGTACACTGTCCTTGCAAAAAGAACACAGACACAACTATATTACAAATTATTACATCACACGTGAGACAAAAGAAAGAAAACAGCATCCTTACTACTTGAATATGAAGTTAAATACAGACTCCAAAAGTCTTATGTATTTTCTTGATGAAAAAGTCATGCTTCCATAATTTCATTTTTCTGAGATAGCTTCACTAAGTTCCCCTGGGCTTTCATTCACATACACAATTCTAATGACCTGTAAGAACTGCACCTATTACATTTTTATAAGAGCCACAACTGAGGCATACTGATTGAATCTCTCCCTTCAGCAGATTACAAAGATTAATAGAGGTTAGAGGCAGCTCTCTTCAGTCAATCAGAACACAAATCTAATTTTTAACTTTCAGCATAAAAAAAATCTGCTGTAATCATCCAAACCAGAAACCCAATGGTGTGGATACTTAACCCTGCTGACAACTTGAACCTACTTTTTCATGGGCCTTTATAACACACTCAAAAAACAGCTTTGTACATCAAAAAACAGTAAGCAGCACTGAAAATGACAATCTTAATTCTGATATTTAAATTCTGATTTTGAATGCATGGAGCTGCAACCTCTCCACAGAAAGAAGGAACCCAGCTTCCAGGCATCAACACTTATTTCACTCCAACATCCTGTGGACTGGGAACCTAAGCAGGGAAGGAGGCAGTCATTTAAAAGGCAGAAAGTCATAATGATTATTTTTACCACGCCTAGACAAATGATGAGTTGTGAAACAGGTTGAGATGCAGTAGAACAGGGAGAACAAAGCTGAGCAACAGAGTACTCAAGCAGCATTAAAATCCAGATGCAGTGCTGAGAATCTCAGTCCTAATTCAATGCTCCTGCCTTGTAAATGAAGGGAGGTGTAAGCATACTGTGATAATGCATGAGTCTGGGAACTGAAACTGAAAAAGAAACTGAAAAGAAGTTATAAAAGCCTGTATTTGGACTCCACTGCACTGGTGAAAATGTGATAGTAATGACAGCAACTAGTAATAAAAGAGACAATGTAGTAGATGAATTAATATAGATGCAAGCCATAAAACTATTTATCATAATTTTAAAGACATTTGTATTTAAACAACAGAGCACAATTTGCAGCACTGAAAGGGAAAATTGTCCTTTTTCTGTGTAAGGTACTACTGACTGAATCCCTACATGCCATCTGCAGCCTTTAAGAACAAATCTAAAAGGACAGAAAAAAAATCATTTGCTATCCAGTGGATTAAACCAGCTGTAGAGATAATTTAATCAGTTGTCTAGAAAACAGATCATGATGAAGCATACTCCATTTTATGGTTCCATGGACAGAAATGCAATGCAGCATTACCAAGTATATGTACTTGATATGTTTATGTTTAGTGCAATACATATATATAAATATGCACTATCACTATCAAGTATTCAGTTTTCACAAATGAAGCCTGAGCTTCTGTAAGTCAGAGTAACAAAAACGGTATCTCAAAACTAAAAACATAATTTGTTGTGAGGAACTCCAGCCCCAGCTGAAAAAGTAAGCTCTTTAAAAAAAAGACAAATAAGCAGAAAGCTGCAAGAAATGTGGGGGGAGACTGGCAGAAAAAGCTCAGCAGAAATCACAGGTCTGCTTGAGTGAGGAGAAGGAGCTGCAGACAGCTTTCCAGGCAGAAGGGCAAGAAGCCTCAAGCAAACGGTGATCAGACAGGAGATAGAAGAGATGGCTGTGGGCTCCATATGAACAAGAACTTCTGTATATGACTGCCTGCAAGAATACCCAGGGGGAAGGCAAGAATACCTTGAAGCCAGTTAACTGAAGCAACTAGGAACAAGTGGGCAAAAATTGCCATGAGCCAATTTCTACTTGGCAGCTTTCTCCAGTCAGAAGGATAGGTGCAAAGAAACCTCAATCATTCTGCTATGGGGTTTTATCAGTTTAATCTGTATCCTCCAATTGCAAAGGTCTCGGTTGCAGCTCATGACTGAGGATGTTGCTTCTGTTCCCATGTTCCTATGAATTTTAGCTATTGATGCACATCTTGTGCTGCTATGGAGTGAAGGTATTAAATACCATTTGCAACCACACACCATAAATACAAGATAATTTTGTTATCAGTGAAACCTTACATTATTATATCAGAACTATTGATGTTTACCATCTTTTTTGCTATACAAAGAAACAAACACAAAGACCTTGGCTCAGTTGTACCTGCCATTCTTTGTATGTCAAGGAGGTGCAGAATTCCACAGCTGACTGTGGAAGCCAGTCTTAAGTACCTGCTAGTGAAAGAGGAGGTTAATGAGATAATGAGTCAAAGATGATGAGTGTAGGTTGTCGATGGAGTGAAATGCTAAAGTACTGTTCCAAATAAGACAAAATGTAAAGTAACAGAATGAGATTATAAAAGTACAAGATTGCCCTGAGAAAACCTGATCTGTTTTGAGCAGCAGCAGACCTTCCAAGGTTCCTTCCCTCCTGAATAACCAAGGGAATAATATGTCTGTTTAAATAGACACATTCAGTCTGGAGTGTAGCTACAGACACGCACAAGTGTTTCTGGGTCCCATTTGATGACAAGACACTAGGCACATGACAGCTTTCTCCCCTTCATCCTCCACCCTGGAAACAGCCTGCATATATGAGCCAGAAGGGAAAGGCACTTGTGACTTCACCTGGCTGCAGTTCCTCAGGTGCCAGCTCTTTGACTCCTACAATTTAACTGAGCAGTGACACAGAGTTACACAGACTTCTCAGTCTGCATCACTTCTGCTCACTCCCTAGCTGCCTTTGGTCCTTTTTAATTAACTCTCTTACCACTCTGACTCCCCGAGTAGTAAGCAACTAGTGACTAGCAGCTATTCCAGAAGCCACTCATAAAGTTAACACCATCCTCAGAGAGGCTCATAAATCACTTTCCTTCCATTTAGGCTTACAGACACCATGCTTCCTCCCACCGGTTAGCAAACAATGTCTCTGTCAAGTACACCCATTATTTGCAAATAAAATGATAATGGCTAAACACGAGCTGTATCTTAGCTGCTCTTTCCAGCTCCATTGTGATAAGAACTATATAAATACACTAAATGGCACTCCCTGCCACAAAGTATAGCCTATCTTGTGAACAAATTTAAACATGGTGTCCTGTCTTTATCAGCCTCACACCAAGTGGACGCATACATTAAGTCATGTGGAAAACTACACTAACCTATTTCATATGCCTCTGAATGTACACTGGAGTTATCCTGCCAGTCCTAGAGCAAAATACCCACAGTATCAGGGTTTTCTTTTATCATTCAGCTTGAAGTGACTTGGAAATTAATGAAATGGAATTCAGCAGCAGAGCATCATACCAAGATATTCTAAGCTGACTGAGTCTTAGTGTGATACAATGACAGTATTATATTTTTCTTTGCTAAAATAAAGACGTAAAATAAAAAAGGGAAGTGTCCCAAATCCTTCAACCAAAATTAATTTCAGTTTGGTAGTTTTCAGTTTTCAGTGTTAGTCATTTTCAGAGAAGATTGCAATGCCTATAAACTACTACCTGTGAGCTTAATAAATTGTTCCTTATTTGGGAATAATTTTGTATGGCATCATGCCACTTCCAGCATATTGTTGTTCTAGAATGATGTTCTAAATTGTCCCATTCTTAGGTCATCAACACATTTTGTTATATTAAATAAACTTATATCTATCTACAACATTTTTTTAAAAAAAGTCTCAGTTATTGTTTTTTTATTGTAAAATAGAATATGCCTTTAAAATTAATTATTTACATCATGCCCATTTTGGATGAAAAATTAAAAAACTCACAAATGATCAAACAAAACCCTCTTATTTTGCTATAGCTGGAGAAGTAAAAAGCACTAAGAAAGACCGTTACTAGGAACTGCAATTTTTTGTTCGCTACCATTTTGAAGCAAGTTTAAATCAAAATATTAGCAGTTATCATCAAAAGGAGCTTCAATAATGATTTTGACATCTTTTCAACCACAGGATTACACTACTTTTAATAAATTTTTAAACAAATCAGGCTTGCGCTACTGTTCAAGTCTCTCATCCAAGAGAACCGACTCCAATACAAAGTTCCACAGACAAATACTTTAGCACGTATCTTGAATAGTTCTTCCCAAGTCGCCTGTTTTATGAAGTTACCAGCAGAATTAGGTTGCTGCTAATGTTAGTTTAAATTACCTGAAATTTCAGAGTAATTTTAGAATGGCTTCTATGGTCATATGGAAATTCTTCTATCTCCAGTCTCTTATAACGTGTAACCTGCTGCTTTTTGTTTCCCAGGGCTCCTAACGTAATCAGACACCAGACTTCCAGAGCAGATGACTGTCCAAGACATTTCATATCTAATTTCATGCTGAGCGCTGTAACACACTGCAGATTTGCTCTAAGCATCCAAAACTGCAATGAAGTGCTGGGCTCTGCCATATTTCATAGTGCTTTAGATCAGGAAGCACCGTTCGGTCATCTAATTTCCCGATCTTTTGCATATCACAGACCCTTTATTGCTCACACCGGTACTTCCAATATCAAGCCCAAGGACTTGAATTAAGCCAAAGCATTCCAGTCCTCATGAGACTAGCCTGTGCACCACAGGCAGATAAGAAAGGCCACTATACAAAGCCCTACATCAGTAGGGAATTGATCACACATGCTTGAGTGATCTCTACTCACCATGCTTGTCTGAGAGCCTGACGTAAGGTCCTACTTAATAATGACCAAACAACCTTTTTCTTCTCTTCACAGATATGACTTTACAATTAGCCCCCTCAAGCAGAAGTGCTTCGCCCAAAATACAGACTTAGATTTATGCAGCACCTCCTATGCATAAAGTGTAACATCTTTACTGTTTTTCCAGGAAAAAAAAAAAAAAATCTTTGACAGAAAATTATCTTTATGAAAAGGCAAGCTTTGCACTTCTCTTAAAGGATGCTATTTTTAGGAATCGGCTAGTCAAATGTCAAGAAATGTATGCCTTGACTTGAGCAAGCTATAACAATTAAACACTTCAGAATAAATTACTTGTGCTGCCTTCAGAAATTTTACAGTCTATATTAGTTCTCTTTTGTCAGATATTCAGTTAGGAAGAATATGTGAAGATACTTTACTTACTGCATTATCTCCCAAAGCTGTTTTGATACTAAGCCGGACTTTGAAAGCATTCTGTGCATCTGACACAAAGAGAAAAAAGCAAACACAAATTGATAGTCAGCAAAAATATAATTTTAAATAATTGATGTCTCTAATTATTTCACAACCCACCGCTTCTAAATGTGTCTTGACAGATTACCCAGTTGGGAGTTACTAGCCTGAAAAATGCCACAGGGATGAACATGACCTCTTTAAAATAGACAAGATTCTGTACTTCATTATCAAACTCACAAAAGAAGAAAATGCTCAGTGTTTCAATCTTCAAACTGGAGACAATCAGTTAAATTCAAAATCTGAGAAGCTGACAGTTTTGTAGGCACGAACTCATAGCTACATTTACGTGGGAAAGGACAGGAATCAGCTCCAAAACTTACCTGGCTTGCAGAGCTCTGTATGTGCAATGGCAACTAGAGAGAGAATAAGCAACAAAACCCGTAACATCCCGTCAGTGTGGAAAGGTTGAGGCAAAAGAAGTGAGCCTCCTCTGTAAAGCACTCTTAAACTTTCTGTGACCCAGGATTAAAGCATCAGCAGCACAAGTGGGCAACAAAGTAAAAGGTTTAATAATTAACCCCCGTTATTTTAGCTAAAACAGGCTCTAGAAACAACTATCTTCTGTTAGTTATTTACTACCTTTCTCTGTAGTAAAGAAAAAAAAAAGTAAAAAAATAAAGAAAAAGGCTGTAACAAGTTTTGAATTTTCCTTCTTTGTTTTTAGAATACTACAAAACTTCACACAATGTTCCAAGCCAATCTTTTTTCCCTCCCAGATGCAATGTCAGACAGGCATGAGAGATGTCTGAGAGACACTGCACCACAGCATGCTGCGACCACAGTGGTGGGACACTGTGCTGTCCAAATTCACTCATAGGTGAATTTGAAGCTCAGCTGCCACCAGATCCCTAAAGAAGTTGCCACTCAGGTTCCTTGGGAAGCTGGCTGGTCCCACAGAGGGCCTCTGAGGATAAAGAAAGACTGGCCACCCTTTTCATCCCTCCAAAAGAAATCATGAACACAGAAGTCTCAGCCCCAAGAAAGAGAGTTTCAGATTTGTCCATTTGCTTTGAACACACAGTGCTTCTGAAGGGCAGGCCTGGTGGTCCCAGTGCTGTATCTCCCTATTCCCACTCCAGTCTCACTCCTATATCCTGGCTCAGGAGCTTGCCTCAGCCCAGCAGAACAAACACCTTGCTCCATGCAAAAAAACCTCCACATCTGAGGCATTGCTCTGCATGAAAACAATAATTATAGAAGTGGAGAACTACTTTCTTGATGTTGCAGGATCATTATAGCAGCAACTGAAGTAAGAAGAAGTGCAATAAAAAGAATTCAGAGGAAGCATCTTGAATAAGGATATATTCTTGTTTCGCAGACATGACATGCTGCGCATACATATAGGCACACAAGTATGCCAATATTTTAATGATGCAATTGAGACTGTTAGCCAAATATTTACCAAGACAAAGAAATAAATGCAAAGGAGAAAGAATTCAAACACTGAAATGTATCACAAGGACTTGAATAGTCTTTGCAATCTGGGCAGCATGGCAGGATGATTTTATTCTACTCTGCTGCTGCACTCCCACTGTAGCTACTCTGATTAATGGTCAGTTCCTAAATTGAAGATTGCTTCAAAATTACTTTCATTTGGTCCTTTAGCACTAAGAAATGTGTCTGAAGACTGCAAACCCAAAGACCTTCAGAAGAATGACTACCAGTAAGAAAAATTTATGTAACTGTGGGACTGACTTTATGGAAAACAATAACCAGTATTTACTTTGTAAGAATACCTGGACTTTCAGGTAACAGAAAACTTACTGTTTAACTGCTTTAAATATTATTTTTATAAGCCACTGTCAAAGGACTTGATATTCCATCTTTAAAAGTCATTAAATCAAGCTGATTCCTGGGCATCTGTTTACTCTCGCTCAGCAACCAGCTCTGAGTACAAAACTATTGGATACATTATTTGCTTAGACATACAATCTATGCCTAGGAAAACAAAAAAGTGATGTATTCATTTCTAATAATGGCTTACATTAACAACCTGTATGTACACGCATCAAAAGGAGAGCACTAAAATAAGTGCAGATGTATGAAAGTATATCAGTTTTCTGTAAAATTAATAATTTTTAAAAATCTAAAAAGAACATGAACGTTAGAAGTTTCATGCTAAATTAATGTGCATTGCTTTAATAAAGAGCATTTAAAGTTTGGTGTAACTTTGGGGAAAATACTGGAGAAGATAGCAACAAGAGTGGAAAAGCCAAGCACTGCCTCCCTGCTGCCATAAGGCAAATGGAACCAAGAATTGATGTGCAGCAGCACCACTCCTCCCTGCTGGAAACCACTGTAAATAAGTTCCTTCCCTCAGAATCACATGGATCTGGTGTCAAAGTACACCAAAGGCACACACAAAGCCCAGCAGGACATGACTGGATTCCCTGACCAGTGCTGCTGACTGCCAGCCAGGATGGCTGATTTTCCCCAATTTGTCTTGCTCACAAGCAGCAAGACAAATGATTTCTCACAGCATAGAAAGGAGGAGGCCAGGAGAAGCAGCAGTGTGATAAACACTCCAGCTTAGAGCTCACAGGGAGAGAGCATCATGCAGTTGATATATACCTGCACAGCAACTTGGGTACATGCCAGATGAATCCAGCTGATTGCCCATGTGCTTATCTGGTTCTATATGTACAGAGCACTGCACATAAGCAACCAGTTGCTGCACATCTATAAACCTTTTTTTCCAAAGACAGCATGTTTTTTTAAACAAGCCAGGTGGACAAGCAAGGCTAGACCAGGTGTTAGTAGAAAGCTAACTGTTCTTCAAAGACATTTTAAAATACTGTCTGAAAAAGCACTGTAACTTTTCAGATTACAAATGGAGTATATCAGCATCATCTAAAAAGAGATTTCTGCCACTTTGAATCCCTGCAAGAAATCTACATGCATGGGTGACCTTCTGCCTATCCTCTTTTCTCCCATTTTGGCCAGATATATAGCACTGTTTAAGCATGTCTGTATTTGTTTGCGACAGATTAATCAGTCATGCATCAGTTTGCTTGAACAAATGATAATCTACATGCACATATACTAGGTACATTTTTAATCCTGTACTTTGTGAGTCAGATTTTTAAATAGTTCCTCTTTTATAGTAATTGTTTTTCCAAACTACTGTTGAGCTACAGGTCACAGTAACGCAGAATCTCATACACAATCTGCACCTTAGAAATATCACTGAACTACTGCAAAGAACTGCTTCTCTTCTTGCACTAAATTAATTTGTCTGCATGGTTGAAAACAAGAGTATCTCTGTTTTTTTTCAGTGCTTGTGACCTCCAGAGGTTCATGTGTTATCTGTATAGATATATAATTAACAGCATACCAGTATACCATAAATTGGACTTGCAAACAAATCAAAGAGAGGACTGAAATTTTAAGAGAGTGGGCAATGTGTGCTAGTAGCCCAGAAAGCCAAATGTGTCCTGGGCTGCACCAAAAGAAGCGCTGCCAGCAGGTCAAGGGAAGTGATTCTCGCCCTCTACTCCGCTCTCATGAGACCCCACCTGGAGTGCTGTGCCCAGCTCTGGAGTCCCCAACACAAGAAGGACATGGAGCTATTTGAGTGAGTCCAGAGAAGGGCCACAAAGATGACTAGAGGGCCTAACACCTCTTCTCTGGAGACAGGCCGAGAGAGTTGGGGCTGTTCAGCCAGGACAAGAGCCAGGAAGACCCTATAGTGGCCTTCCAGTACCTGAAGGAGATACAGGAAACCTGGGGAGGGATTTTTTTACAAGGACATGTAGTAGAAGGATGAGAGGGAACAGTTTTAAGCCAAAAGAGGGTAGATTTAGATTAAATATTCAAAATAAATTATTGACTTTGCGAGTGAGGCACTGGCACAGGTTGCCCAGGGAAGCTGTGGATTCCCCCTCCCTGGAAGTGTTCAAGGTTAGGTTGGATGGGGCTTTAAACAACCTCATCTAGTTGGAGGTGTCCCTGCCCACACAGGGGGGTTGGAACTAGATGATTTTAAAGGTGTCTTCCAACCCAAACTATTCTATGATTCTATGGTATGATTCTATGACTTGGTAAAACAAACAAAACTTTTCCATCTTCTCGATGTGATTACCAATTTACTTTTCTGCTTCTTTCAATGTCTTTGAAGTGGAAAATCCCAGGAAAGTAAAAAAATGGATAGCTATCATATAAGTTAATTAACAGCTACAGCCAAACTTACCATCAGTTTTCAAATTTGACAAATTAACAGTTTTAAACTCTGTGGAAGTTAATATTTAGTCTTAAATAGTTGTGTTCAACTCTTATGAGGGAAGAGTCAATGTGCTACTGTCAGCATTAGTCACTCATGGAAATGTACCTGGAGAACTACAGGTCTGATTGTACACAGTGCCTTGCAGCACCCCGGGTACAATGGAAAAAACAAACGCTGCACATCTGCTGCAGGCTTCAGAAGCTAGTGAGACTAGGATCTAAGCAAATGTCAGTACCATCCAACACACCCAGCTGGCCAACATAGGTTCAGCCTAAGCCTCATTAAACGGGAGTTTCTTCAGTAACTTTAGGAGTAACAGGGTGTTCAATCAGGCCCATAACCACTGTCATTATTCCAGTGATGCAGGAGTGTTTTATCAGAGCTCACAAATACAGATAGTATGTGAGAAAACATTTTCCCTGTGAGACAGCAGTGCAGCCACGAAGCAGCAGGGGTGGGCAGGGAAAGGCTGCACTCTCTAGAGTCCACTGCTGCCACTTCACCACTAAGTCTATGGCACAATCTACAGCCCTGAAGTGTCAATGGGAACTGACCACTTCTCCTCTCAAACCCACACTTCCTGAATGTCTCCTAATCAACACGTGTTTTCTGAGTCAACCAGATCCATGATAGTGATTTACTGTCATTTCCCACACATTCTCCTATGTCCATTTTCTTCACTGAGGAAAATAAAAGCTGTATGATTTGATGAGGAAAGGCACTGCTCTTCTACTGGAGCATATGGCAAAAATCATCCTGCCCCTTCCCTGGAAGTGTTCAAGGCCAGGCTGGACAGGGCTTTGAACAACCTAGCCTAGTGGGAGGTGTCCCTGTCCATGTAGGGGGGTTGAAACTAGATGGTCTTTAAGGCCCCTTCAAACCCAAACCATTCTATGATGATACAACTCCATGAATTGTGACAAGGACAACTTTTATTAGACTATCTGTATGCTTATACAATGAATCTTTCTTTTCTCCCCAGAGGTCTTGGGCATACAACAAAGGGAGCAAACACTTCTTACCTGCTTATGTCAGTCCACACTGGTAGGAAATATGAGAGAAATGGAAACCAGAAGAACCATGTGAAAAGCAAGTGCGAATGTGTGCTAATCAGAGTACTTGTATGCTTGCTCAGAGCTGGTCTACTGAGCATGCATAGTTCTGTGCACAAAACTTACAAGACACGCCGAGATTCATAACGGAATATGGTGTCTAACTTCAAGCTGGAAGATAAATGTTTCTCCATTCTGTGAAGCGTGACCAGTATACCTGGTTTTGCATGATAGGGCTCACAAAGTACCACACCATGCAGATGTATTTTCTCTAGGAAAGATGTAAGAGCAAGATTCACAAATTTCTTTCAGGTTTCCACAAAAACAAGATAGGCTTGAGAAGTCCCATAGTCTATAATCCCAGGGTAAGGGATCATACAACTACTGACCAGAATGCTACATTACTTTGGATACGTGAAAGCCTCTTGACTAGAACAGGGGTATTTGTTTCTTTCTGACACCGTGTCAATGAAACGGAATTCTGCAGCTGTACTTCAGTATTAAGCTCCTGTTATGTGTGTAAATTATTAAGAATAAAAAAAAAATCAAGAAAACACACAATTACTGTATTCCTGTTTCAAAGAGGAAAGACAGCTTATTTCCAAAATTGCTATAAGCATCTGTAATAGCTGATGTATTTTGTGTTTTCTTACAGAGATCCTCTGCTTCACTACTCAAATCTGTAAGTTCAGGATGGTTCTTTCTCCAAGTATATTGGGAAAATGCCACCATGAAATGTAGCATATTAATGAAAGAAATTATTTAATGTCTCCATTTTCGCTTAGAAATAGTTTAAAGGAAGGTTGTTTTTATGGCATTCACTCTGGATGAAAAGTTGTAGTTTTAATTGCTTAATGAAATAAGACTGGTGAAACACATTTGGTTGTGTTTTTCCAAAGTCTTCATGGGTGTCAATGGCTCATCAGATGTAAAATGCACAATGCTGCCATCTTCTGTATACAAGGAACAGGAAATGGATGTGATATTTTTTATGCACGTTCTGCAAAAGCAAACTGCAAAAGTGGTATTAACTGCTTTATTTTAAAAGACAATCTAGAATCCGAAACATGGGTGAGTAATGGAAGGGTCATGGTCTGAGTATTCACTGGCCAAACAGCAAATGTAACTGCTTCCTGGAGCAGTCATAGGCTTGAATAACTTCACTGAGCTTCAGAATAACTAAGAAGGCATGATGTTGATGAACAGCACACTCCATCAGTCTGCTTTTCATAAGGGCCGCTCTGATATGTTTCACTGCCAGCAGCTCAGCCTATCTAGGCAGCACGGTACCTCTAGGATACACCAAGTAAGCTGCTACACTGTGGTTTAGGGCAGCAATTCAGATCTTAACAAACAACATACACTATCAATGGCTACGCAGCACATGCCCAAACAAAACTCGGACATTGGCTGCCCCTGCAGCCTGTAACGCCCGCCACCGAGGCTCTGATCACTGACACCTTTCCCATTTAGGCCCATCACCCCACGGCGCGTTATAACCGGCTCCCTGCCACGGAACACACGTGTCACTTACTGCCCCAGACGCGGTGGCGGGTTAATCCACCCGGACACCCGCCTGCCCGGTGCCCTCAGGAGACCCCGGGTGCCTGTGGCGGGACGAACAAT